TAAACACTCCACAAGGAGGATTACCAAGGAAAGTAATGAAGAAAAATGGAAATTAAAATCCTTGTATATTTTCTGCTGCAGGTAACAGTTGAATCATAGAATAGTTTGGGTTGGAATACAGATATAAAAAATAAAACTAAGTGTCTCCATGGAAATCTTTTGAAGCAGGAGCATGCAGTAGAATAACTTTGTCAATCCATGTCCAGCCAATGAACTGCAATTTAAAATAATGTACATAAAGCAGGCAGCTATAAATCTCTAGTCCTCTAATCTGATTTTTATAGTTCAACTTGTTCTTTGTTGTCTACAAAACAATCAGTTTTGGAGAAGAAACAAACAAAGTGCTCTGACAAACACTGTCTCCAATCTAGAATTCATCTCACCTCTTTCAGAAATCTGCAGTGTTCATTTTGGTATCTGGACTAACCACCTTTAACAATTAAACAAAGAAACAGGCTATTCCATGTGTGCTGCACTTAAATGAAAAGTACCTGTCTGGTCGTGTATGCCCAGAATATTATAAATGTCATCCTGGAAGACTGTAAAGCTTTCTGTACTTCAAAGAGAGATAAAGTAAGAGGAATAATATTTGCATAAGAAAAAAAGCAAGCTTTTCAGTATTCAGAGAAGTCTGCACTACTGCAGGTTAACCACAAGATAGCTGCAGGGATTCAGAGCTGGTTATGCACAGACACCTTGGATTCAGAAGCTACTTCAAAGCTGAATAGAGCTTGAGCTATGGGTCCTACAAATTCTACGATGAATGTATTTGTCTGCCTTTGTGCCATGTCCCTGGAGAGAACACTGCAAACTCAGAATTCACACTTCAGAGTCAGTGTGGATTCAGCAGGTCTTAATTCCTGCTCTGTAACCGTCATTACACTGAGGTCTGTCAGCATCAGCTTGAGAAATGCCCCTTTCTATGAGAAAAGGTAAGGAGGTTACAAGTCAGTTGTCTCTATGACAAAATTCGCACCTGGCTTTACTGTATCTTTCCATCACCACTCACTCTTTCTTTGAATATTTAAAGAAGAAAGTTATTTGTAGGCTTATCAACTTCCCAAACCCTTGCACAGCAATTCAATTTAACTTATTAAAGATAAAATGGTGATAAAAGTATCAGGGTTTCAGGTTCACTGATATCGCTAAAGACAACTAATAAATAATGTAGCAAACAGAAATACTGCTGGTATGGAAAGCATTTTAAAACGTATTTGTGTCATTATGTCACTAAGACAACCACAACCTAAATTTGAACTCTTCTTAAGTCTATGTACAAGTTTCTGACTTGAACCAGTTAAATTATGGAGTTCCTGTTCTTGACTATCCATACAAATGGACTAGTGGAACCCATAAGTATTAAAAAAATACTTTTTTTTTTTAATGAACTTAAAGGAATGTTCTTACTTGGATACTGTATGTATTTTTTAATATAAATATCTTAAAAGTAATCTTTTCAATCTTTAAAAATAAATGACAAAAAGCAGAACTATAAACAACAAACAAAAAACATTTGAGTTTTCCAGATCACTTGAAGAGCTGTATCTTTTTGGGACTTGAAAAGATGTGCTAATGTTTAGTTCCTCAATCAAATAATCAGAGGAGCAACCGTACAAAAAGTTAAAAGTAATCTATTTAATAGTAAGATTTTGAAGAATCCATTTGACTCTGTGGAAGCAAGCCAATTTTTTTTTCTTTTTTTCCCCTTTACATACTGCTGTCACAGGAAATGAAACAGAACTGACAAATGTCCTTTTGAGAAATTAATTTGAATACTAATGTAATGCAAATTAGCTTTGCCTTAAGCAATAATTGAGATACCAAAGCTTGCACTTAAAGAAAGGAGAATTATGCAGGTGTTTATCTGAATTTAATTAGCATTTCATTATGTCTATATGACAAAAATAATAGTATTATTTTGAGAACTGAAATACTGTGGCTCTATCAAGTTTCAGCAACTTAAGTTTCAGCAACTTGATCTGTATAGTCACATAAATGAATAGTGATATTATCAGAGGGATAGATGAGGATCCTTCATCGACAGGAAATCACAGCACAGAGCACATGCTTCACATACCTTTATTCACAGTATAATATTTATCTTCATATTCACAGTAGAATATTTTTTCCTTTTGTGTTTGTGAAATGCTGGTGAGCACATTTCAAGCTCGGCAGTTTGGGCTGCTCCTGACAAGTGTAAACCAGCTCACCCTTTTCATCCTAGAAAGCCTGAGCAAACCTGCCACCCAGTGACTTCAGCTCAGAACTGCCAGGGAAAGTGGCAGGAGAAAAGAGAAAATCCCTTTGCTCACCCAGGAAGAAAAAGGACCCTTAATGCAGCAATACAATAACAAATACAGAAAGTGCATATTCCTCTTAATTATATCCTACATAAACCATTGCATTGGATTTGCTGAATTTGTTAAAAATTCTGCATTTGTTATTACTTAAGTACTGAACCATCTAATACCTACAAATGCAGACTTCAAATGCAATCCTACTGTCCCCTCTGTCCCAAATAAAGACCAAGGTGCCTGTGGAAGAGCAACAAAGACTATTTGCACTTGCTTTGTATTTGAAAGCCCAGAATTAAGGCTTAGGAATGTAAAACAAGAAGATGCCTCGGCTAAAAGAATTTCTACCAGTATTGGCAGATCAAACAAGCAAAACAAACCAAGAAATATCTTTCAGAAAGGAGGATATTCTTCTGGGGTTAGTTATACACTGACAAGTAAATTAATTGATATTTAGATCTAAACTACTTAATTTTTAGGGTCTAAGTGAATTAACAGCTATTCAGCTTTTGAATCCTGTGAAGGATCCATACCTATAATCTATTGAAAAAGGAAATATTCCAGGACAAGATTCACCACCCAGATGAATAGAAGCACCTCTTTTCCCCCCTGTGCAGACCATAGAAAGCTTGTAGAGACCAAGGTAGTCTGGAAAAGTTAGGGTAATTTGGTTTTGAAATGAAGCACTTTAATAAAGGGTCTAAAATAAAGGGTCTAAAATATTGTGGAGATAATCAGAATTTTGAGACCAAGAAGTCCAGGACCACTGGGTATGTGGAAGATGAAACAGGTAGCTGGAAACTAAATAGTATCAATGTTCTAAGAGAATTACACATTTTCTGAAAGCCTTATTTGGTCCCATATTTGTCAACTTGAAAAGCTTTGCTAGAAAGTGTCCTAAAGTTGGTATTATTTTCTCCTAAAAGAAAAAAAAAAAACAAAAACAAAAAACCACAAGTCGTTTATTTCTATTTTCATTATTTGGAGGAAACCCCAAAAGTATATATCAGTGATATAAAAATTTTTGTTTAACATGCTCAACACATGACCTACAGATGGAGAAAGATCAGGTTCCTTTCTCTTGCACCACAAACTCTTCTGATAAAACCATTTTTACCTTCTTTCCACACCAAAATAACAGATTCATCAACACTTTCAGTCTGTTTTTCTGTTCTACGGAACAAATTTCTTTGTGTGACATCTGTCATGTAGCTAAAAGCAATCAACTAAATAAAATCTGACACAGACTGATTTTATTTGCTCTTTTACAAGAAGTTTACTGGGGCTTTACTCTTTAAGCTCTTATTTTGTCTGATATTCAGACTCATTCCAGCCTTTAAGGACAAACTAATGCAATTAGGAGGCAATTCAAGCTTTTCCAAGTTATTCCTATGCAGTAATTACCAGAGTAGAATAAAGACCTGTCAAAAGTGTGACTTAATAGCCGCCTGCTAGAAATGTTTTGAAAGATGCCAGTGTATGGAGAATAACTGCATACTTATTAATTCCTGAGGCAATACAAAAGACACTGCAGACTACTTACTACCCTGCTACTGAGTGTGGACATAGACTTCCAGGAGATTTATTACATAAACAGGTGTATGTCTTTGGGTTTCAATGTTTATCAGCTGATCTTAGCATACTTCTGCTGGCTTGTTGGACATGTTCTCTCACTGAAAGAGCTGCGTGGCTTCTTAACTACATCTTACAACTCAGCAAATGAGCGGGTTGAGGCAACTCTTGACTCCTCAAAGGGGTGTTTTGTTCTAAATCAGACTAAAAATAGTCACACTTTACACATCTTTTCACATGGACATAAACAGATACTAAAATTAAAAAAAGGAATCTCTTGGTCCATGGAAAATCAGATAGTATTACCAGCCTATGAGGCACTGGTACATAATTTTGAACACAAAGCTAAAGCTAAACGTGGTCCCTGGTGTTCCCAGACACTACAGCTACCATCAACAACCTTTTCTTTCCATAGCCACAGTTTCTTTTAGGAGCACAAAAAAACCCCAGGTATCTAAATGTATAACTGTATAACTTAAATCCAGAATAACAGAATAAATATTTACACAAGTAGGCAACCACTTGGAGGTTTCTGAATATTAGGCAAATCAGCATGTGATTAGACATAACAAGAAAGGATTTCTAATAGAGATATTAATTTTAAATAAATCTGATAGAAGACTCTAAAAACATAACCATACATGCAAATAAAAAGGAACTATGATTGTTCTATGTGCCAAAATGAGTGCCTTTGTATTAACTTGTTTAGCCTTCACATAAACTGTTCTTCATCAGTGTTTACAGACTGTATGACTCCTACCCACCATCTGTCCCAGTTTTGTGCCAAATTCCAGAAATGTTGATGAGAAAAACATGGTTTAGTAAAAACGAAGGCATATGCAAACTTTTTTTGAGGTAATTTGCACCCTGTTTACAATCAGGCTATCTACTTACCAGCTATTTTCACTAATAATCAGAGTGGGATTTCTCTGTGGTACTAAAACACTTACATCAGTTTAGATATATGATTTCAGGTGTCTGCCTGCAAGTGTCTATTTATCTGTAAGGTGTCTGAATTGTAATTCTATTTTATGTTCTTGGCCTATTGGACCCAAACCAACACAGAAACGGCAGCTATTAATGACAAAGAAAAATAGGTTTTTATGTATTAAATAAGGATCTATAGTATCTTACCATAACATTCCGTTCATAATGTTCGTGTTCTTTCTCAAAATCTATTACAAAGCCATTTAGAGACCAAATAAATGTCAGGTCTAATGTGGGATCATGGGATGCAATGCATTGCATGGTAGCATTCTCTCCAACGGTGACATCAACATTCAATGGAGCTAAAGTAATCCTTGTAGCTTCTGTGAAGTTAAAGACAAGCATGGCAAAGTCCAATAAATAAATGTTTATTCAAATATAAGCTCAGCTCCATAACTGTTTGATCATACATAAAGCCACTCCCTCAAAGTCTGGTTTACATGTTATTCATACAACTACATTTCAAAGGACCAAACTGAAGACAACAAAGAAAACATTTTACACCTAAAATACCTGACTTCTTTTTAGCTGTTTAAATCTCTGAGTTAAATTACAACTATTTTTATTCATTAACTATGTCTTAAGTAGAAAGAAGACACATGATGAATCTTACGTGACTGGTGTTGTGTTTCTTGTTTCAATTACAATATTTCCAATGTTTTAAAACTTGTCTCTTTAATGAATGAAAAGTTCTACGTGGTTAGGCCAAGTCACATTTTCATTAGAGCATTGCAGGTATTGTGATCTTAATTTATCTACTGAGAAGCAATATAATAGATGCATAACAAATTGTGTAAATAGCTACATGTGAAAAAGAAGAGAAAACAATACAAAAAAAAAAATAAATATGTGCATTCCTCAGCAATGTCTCATTATTACAGGAACAAAAAAGAAAGCGGACATCTCATGACACTTGCTCAAGCTCACATACATGAAACTCATATAGCAAATTAGCAACTATTCTGGAAGGAACTCACTGGATCAATGAGACTTTTCCCCTTTCTTACAATTATTATCATAAAACAAAAAGCCACAGAATAGCTTCCTTATGCTATGACATGTAATATCTGTCCCACCAATATGACAGTGGTAGTAGGGTATCAAAAGTTGGAAGACAATAGCCATGAGAATTATTGCCACTAGTTAAAACCTAGGCTTGAGCCTCCTCCAAGGAGCACACTCCATTCCATCTTACACGGAAAAAGAAAATATCCTCAGCAAACCCAGTACTTTATCAATCTGTCTCAGAAAGAAATCTTTCACCAGATCCTACCCTAGTAATCTAAAACCTGCTTAGTACTGAGACTATGAGGATGGCACAACTACTGCTGCCTGCTGTATGGAGCATCTCACAGTACACTGGAGCAACCTGTTAACACCTGGTCTCCAGGGCCTTACACATGGACACGTGCTTAGGATACTATCTCCATTCCAGTGCGGTGGAATGTGTGCTCCACCAGTACTAGCATCACTCTAAAAAGCTGCTGAAAGAGTGGACCAGTGGCAGGGAATGAACAGCATCTGGGAAAAGCCATCAGAGTTTGCAGCACCTGTCAGAATCAGATTTAACTTTTTAATTTCCTATGTGTGCAATGTCTGATAAGTTTTATGGGCCATACAATGTGCTAGGGAATGCCAGTTTCAAAGCATTCTTCACCAGCCCTCATCATTGCCCACAATATGAAAATGATTTTGAAATAAGTCAACTGACCTTTCTGTTTCTGCTGTGATGTCTTTTACTCTTGGTGTTCATTTTTAGAGGAATCAGAGCAGAAGTTTTCAAAATTTAAAATTTCTTTATACTAGTCTATAAGTACATATTGGTTTTTGTTTCACTGCACGAATTTAGTATGCAAATATTCTTTCTGATTTTAGAAGATATAACAATTAAGGGGCTGGATATATTTATTTACATAAACTTTCAAAATAATTAAATGCCTGAGGGTAATATTAAGATATATGAAGCAGCAGAACATAAAAAATAACTGCAAACATCAAAATACAGTTTTACATTTCATTTGGTACAATAAATTTGGAATCTATCAGCCAGAAAATTGCTTTCATATGATGCTACAGACTAATTCTTACGTTAGCACATTAGCATTGAGCTGTCACATCCAGCATGATTCTGGTACAGAGATTAAAAACCTATTTGACAAATGTCTCTTCCACTGTCAGTGGTACTTGATAGATGTAGGTGTTACAGAATGCTGTCCATTATTTAGTTATTTGACATCAGATTTAAAACACACACTTAAGTGTATCAATACTCAATCCGTACATAAAAATACTAATAAAGGAAGATAATTTAGAAGTGCAATAATATGGATATATGCCTTATCTCACAAATTTCATACCTATTTCTTTAACAGCAATGCTGTCTCAAACATACTTATACCACCACAACCACCATCATCACAACACCAAAACCACCACCAAAAAACACAAATTAAACCAAACCAAACCAAACCAAACCCAACTAAACCAAACCAAAACCCCTACAAAACAAAACAAAACAAAACAAAACAAAACAAAACAAAACAAAACAAAACAAAACAAAAAACCACTAAGAAAGGTCAGCATATTACTGTGAGTCATGGCCCCAGAATTACACCTTATCATGAGTGCTAAGCTACCAAATAGAGTGAACACATTAAAATATGTTGATTTAATGTATCTTGTTTAGCAATCTGTTATGGAAAAATCAACCCTGAAAATTGAGATACAGTGTTAGAACTGATGCAAACATACCCAGTTTCAACTGAGCAATATGCTTTAAAAACATCAATTCATTGTTAATGAGCAATTAAATTAGAAAGATGTAGAACAGCTTGAAAAAGTAGTGCAATTCTGGAACAAAAATTAGTCATTTTGAATTAAGGGATTCTACCCATAACAAACTAATGCAATTCTGAGGCTTACCTGTCATTTCTAGAACACCAGTACTATTGGCTTTTCCTCGGTTATTTTCTGCAAAACAAGTGTAGCGACCTTCATCCAGCTTTGTGACATTGATAATTTCCAGGCTCCCATCATCCCAGATACGTATGCTATGGAAAGTGTAAAAAATACACTAAAAGAAATTAGATTTTATATTAGAAAGCAATGCTTCCTGTAGAACTGTAGTAAGTGAAAGAAAAAACCACAAACATAATTTGAAAGCTCACATCTAATTACTGGATTTATAAGCATGCCTGCAGTAAAAAATATTTAAAGAGACTGTGGCATGATTAGATGTCTCAGATTGCTGTAACAAGAGAATGTACTTCTATTCACTTGTACTCATTCAAGTATTTTTCTTAGAGTTTTATGGTACAATTCAATTCTTAAAACAGACTGGGTAAAGTTGGATATCCTGCTAACTCTTTGAATCCATACTGCCAGCAACATTTTGGCATACTATTTTCATGGAGCTGTACATTCCCCTGTTCCTGAAGTCTGCAAAATGGAGTATCATCCTAGATAGATACATAAGGTTACATTTTTAAGGCTCAAAGGATTCACTAACAGTCCATACTAACCGGCTCCCATTTACAAGCAATTCTGTTCCTTTGCTCCAGGAGAATTTTGGCTTAGGAGCAGCTTTGGGCTTGCATTCAATGATTACACGGCCTCCTTTAGCTGCTAGGATTTTCTTCTTCATAGGGTTCAGTTCAAAAGTAGGAGGTGAAGCTGAAAGCAAAAATTAACACAAATACTACTGTTAGTGGTTTTAGTGCAAAACAGAATTTGTTTGCAACATACAACAAATGAAAGAACTACTGAATTGTTTACAAATGTTCATTATTCAGACTAGTGGAAAAATATTAATGATACAGAGATGCACTGGGAAGTACAGGGTGATCTACAAAAAACACAAAATATCATTACATAGTTCTGTGCTGTGTAACACAAGAGGTTTCTTTCTATTGATTTCTGAACTTTCATCTGAGTTTAATCTAACAAGATCAAAGTCCACTGAAAGTTCCTCCCTTTAAAAAAGGCCTTTTGATCAGCCCTAATAAAATTCAGATTCCTGGAGATAAATTTCTTTAACAAGTTGTTCACTCAATCATAATTCCAAAGAATAGTTTGGTTTACTTTTCAGTGGTTTTAATCCTCTCTACAAACTAAAATTGTGCCTTTATTCTTTGTGGTTTTGTTTGGCCAGCTGGTTTTAGGTGCACTCTCAGATGTACAAGAATATTGAGACGTGACTGTCATGAGCACCACACTTATGTCTCTGAGACAGATCCCTGCTTATTAACTTGCTCTTTATTTGAAACCAAATAAAAGTAAAAAAGCTTTTAATTATTTTGCATCTTGGCATCTTTAATCATGCCAGAAAGTGTGTGCACAGCCTGAGGAAATAAGGTTATTATTTCATTACAGAAGTACAGAGCAAAACTCTGATGAATATCCAACACTGGATTTTGAAAATGCACATATAAAAAGTGCTCATTTTGCGTAAACCAAGCTGGTAGTGAGTACATAGCAATGGAAGAACAGTGTAGAATGAAGCACTGTTGTGCAATGGGTTGGGATTAGCAAAAATGAAAATGCTCCTTAACCAGTTTTGCAAGCTTAAAAATGTAGGCTGCAACTCTGTGTGCTTCATATAACTTCAGCACTATGAGTTCCTCTGAGGAGGAACAGCAGGGAACAAGTATTATAAATACAAACAGAAAACATGCCCCACAAGCTGGAAAATTTATTCCTCAAGTTGTCAAAAACCAGCTAGAGAGCTCAAATAAACTCCACCTCACCTAGACTGAGTGAGAGTCCTTAACTTCATCCTCACAGGAATCTGTTACCAAAGAGTATTTGCAAATATGTTTACTTCTGTCTTACTCAACCCTGAAATAGTAAATAGAGAAATAGTCCCACTGACCCACAATCTTCAGTTCAGCATTTGCGTAAATAATTCCGTGCATGTTTTCTGCTATGCACTGGTACATGCCGGCATCGTCAAAGGTCAGACTTTGCATTCTTAGTTCACCTTTCCGGAACTAAAACACAGAATTGATAAAATAACAAGATATTAACATAAACTACATCAGCTGAAGAATCCACACCCATCCACATTCTTTCTTTCCGCCCCCCCCCTCTCCACCCCTTCCCCTTTTTCAGTGACATTGGGTTCACCTTCTTTTAAAGAAAGATTCATTGTCATTCAATACTTAAGTTTCTGGAAAAGGCCTAGGTGAGTGTCAGTAGATAAATTTACTCTCTAGTCCCCTGTTATCATATCAGTGCAAACACTACTGATTCAGAAATAAGAAACAAGGAATTAAATTAATTTTATGCCCATAAGCTTTGTTATGCCATGCTTACTGGCTAGTACTTTCTGTTGTTACATCATTGTTACAGGAAAAAGCCAAATCAAGTCCCAGTGAGATGGGAGTTTTTCAGGAGATTCCTCTGGGAGATAGTACAAATTATTTTTTATTACTTTGTTTTAGTAGAAAAAGAAAAAAACAGTCAATCAAAATAGCTAGTTAAGGTGGGATATTTTGTAAATTACAAACCGATGTCAATCAGTTTTTGAAAGATCATGTTAATGTATTCTGTTTTTTATGTGAAAATCAAGCTGAAAGCTTTAACTCTTGTATGTAAGTACATTGGAGTGCATGGAGCAGTGGAAGATTAAGAGAATAGTACTTAGCTGAAAAGAGAAATTAAAAGAAACATTTATCTGACTGTTTAATGTGAAGATGTTTTAATCAGATTTTATACAAGGAATCTTTGTTGTGCACTAAATGAAATGCCTAATTACTAGTTATCTGATTTAGAAACAAATTATATTTTCAAGGCGATTAACGTATTTCTGCTATCTTCCATTTGGAAATCATCTTATCATAGTAACACACAGCATAATCTGGTGTATTACTGGAGACTTACCCACTGCGTTCTGCAATCCAGTATGCAGACTTTGTTAGTGAAAGCCAAGTTCAGTGGGGACCAGCAAGTAACTCACTTGTTAAATTATTTGTCTGCAAGAACTACCAAAGCTAGACAAAAACATTGTTTTTCCCTGGTTTAAGCCACCTCCACATATATAGGAGATGGTGATATCTCTGTTTTCCCTCCAACATCATACATTTTTCTTAAGATATACAGTCAAAAGCCAAGCTGCCTCACTGTCTTTTTTTGTTTGTTTGCCAAGATAAGGGTCACCACAGCTCAGTAGATGCAGAGCTGCATTGTGCCTTGTATTCTCTTCTTTTTTAATGGCTTCTCATATAGTATAAGCAATAGACTTTGATTATACTGTTGAAATGCCTGAATAGGTTTTTCTCAGAGAAGTTGTGAATGTCTCATCCCAGGAATTGTTCAAGGGCAGGCTGGAAGGAGTTCTGAGCAACCAGGGCTGGTGAAAGGTACCCCTGCCCATGGCTAGAGGGTTGGAACTAAACAATTTTTAAGACATCTTCCAACACAAACCATTCTGTGATTCCACGGTTCTAGGACAGAAAATCTACTTTATCTAAACCAAATATCCAATGTAATAGAATTAAACTATCAAATAGTACTTCTTTAAAAGTCTTTTAAACATCACCTAAACATTTGCAACACTCTGTGTCTAGAAATAAATGTGAGAAAATACAGGATATAGAAAGACTACTGATAATTTAAAAAATTATCTTTATTGTCATATGTATGACTATTTTGACATATTTTTAAAGAGACATTCATGTTTAATGTGGTAAAAAGGATTAATTTTAAAATGAAGCTGATAGACATTTTTTATCCAGAGTGAAGAGCATTTTACTTAAACAGGCCTGGAGAAAAAGGGATGTCCACCTCCTAAACATGTGGTCAAAAGTTAAGTTCGTAATTCAAAGCTGAATACTAAATAGCCTGAAGAAATAAATGAATACTGAGATGCAACTTTAAAAAATAGATTTAATGCCTCATGCAAGTCGCAACAGCAAATATTTGGACCATTGTAATTAATTTTCCTTTAACCTTTTAATAATGCATGCTTCAAAAAACTGTTTCCATGAGCAAAGCACTCAAGCCTGTGTTACCTACATCAATACACTCACCGAGGCACCATTCTTCAGCCACCTAATTGATGGAATAGGTTTGCCCGTAGCTACACAAGGCCAGTACAGGTCACTGCCTATATCCCTTTCTGTGTCATTGATATGTTCTACCCACTCAGGAGCAGCTGCAGAATAAAATACATATGACATTGTAAATACAGCACATACAGATTTAATTAGCATTATTTTGTATTAATTCCACTGCTTTTTCCATGATATTTAAACAGGCCTCTCAAATGATAACTCAGCAACGCACCGGCACAAAAAAGAAATAAGGTATTTTTTTGTTTTGTTTTGTCTTACAACATAGATTCAAAAAAAGCTTCAAACTATTTTTTATGAGAAGAAAATATGGAATTGAAGTAATAGTTCCTGAATGACAAAAGACATAAGATATTACCATGTATATTGATCTGTAGATTATTCAGTGTGGAAATTACTCAGTAGCACTGTGAAAATGATTGTTAAATGACATGAAATTGTGCAAAACTGTACGTACTGAAGGGATCTCCAAGAAATTATTCTCATGGTCCAAAGAGTATATGTATGAAATTAATATTGAAAACAGTCCAGTATATTTGCATTTGCTAAGCAAACAAACCAATTTATTAGCTTTACTTATTATAAGCAGTAACAATTTTCCCACACTAATTCTGAGTTCTAGCACTTAACTGAGGATCCCAACTCAGAAATCTGTACAGCCAATGAAAGAGACATAAATCTTCTGAGGGTGGTTCAGATGTTATGTGTGACCTATTCATGTCATGATTTCGTGGCATAAACCTCAGACAAGAAGCCAAGTTACTTGGGATGATTTCATTATGAGCAATTGGTTACCTAATTTAACCAAATGCATAAAGGCAAGTGACGAAGGAGGAATAAAGAACTGTGCATAGCTAATAAGACAGAGAGCTAAGACAGAAAACACAAACAAAATGAAGAGAACAAGAAATCCTAACAAACCTAATGGTGTCTTTTATTCCCAGAAGTTCTTTCACTTCGAGTACTATAATTAATTTAATTTACATTATACTTAAGTATGCTAACGCAGAACTGTCAACTGTATCTACCAGTTATCATAACCAGACGAATTGAGTAATCTTCCAATTAATACATAAATATCATGCCTGACATTTAATGCAAGATTTTTGATGCTGCTCTATTAACTTGAACAGCAGTGTGTGAGTATGATAGTATGAATCAACACTGACATCAACTGTGAAAACAGATATTTCCAACATAAGTAAAGCAACACATATCATCAAGAATAAAATTGTTCTTCCTACCTTGTACATAAACTCTTGCTTGATGTTTATCTTTTCCTTTATAGTTTTCAGCTTCACACTCATAAAGTCCTTCATCTTCATACTGAATATTGAAGATTTTAAGAACTGCACCAGACATGCTTATCTCAGCAGAGGCTGGCAAGGGTTCAAGGTATTTACTCCATCTGAGTTCAGGAACCGGACTTGAAAAGGTACAGTAAAGTACAAATCAGCGTGTTCAAGAACTGGCGGTTAAATTGCAGACTACAAAAAGAGCATTTGATCATGAAATATGTATTTTCACTCCCTGAAATGTGAAAGCAATTTGTGCTGTACAATAACTTTAAAACACACTTACTTTCCAAGAGCAAAACACTCCAGTGTCACATTTTGCCCCAGGAGAGCATACGTGTCCTTGAACTTCACCTTGATATCAGCAGGATATACTTTTGCTCCTAATATAAAAAAAAAAAAATTCTAAGAAAAGGCATGTCAGAAAGTTATACAGCTATTAAAATTTCCACAATTCAATAAAACTTCTATTAATATTCCAGACAAAATTCTTCTTTACCCTGAATAAGTAGCCTGTCAATTCATAAAGTCTGACTAAGCACTGGACTTTTACTAGTAAGGCATAATTGTTTTACTCAGCAACTAGTTATCTTTCTCTGGATGACAAATCCTAACATTTTTTCCAGAATTTCTATTTGCATTTGAAGCATGATGATGGACTCTGTGTGTGGGTAGACAAAAACCTGTCTGTTTTCCACGGGTTTTTTACTTGATATAATATTTTGAATTATTTTGAATTTAAGCTCAATTTTATCTCAGTAAGGGTATGAAGGAGCTAGAGCAAGCACATCTGCAGTTTAATGAGTGCACAGGGATGTAAATGTAATCAAATTTCCCTACTATCAATCCCTGTAGGAACCCTCTTGCAGCTCTAGATGAAGATGGCAGTGTGAATACCAGAATATTTGGTCAAAGATCATTAATTTAAAATTATATGCATTCAATCAGTAATATGCAAAACTGTACAGATAAAAGGGTCACTGAAAAATTGATAATCAATTTATGAGAATTTAGTGACTGACAGTCTGAAGTGGCAAAGGGAATTTGGTTCCTATTTGGAAAACATGCAGTTCTCCTGAAGAAATGGTGACAAATAATCCAGTAACACAAAGCCACAGAGGTGTTTTAGGAGATTGACCGTGAGACACAAAGCTCTTAGGCCACCGTTGGATAGGAAGTTTCATCAAGGGAAAAGGATTATCCTCTTTCACGGGGGATTTTCTGGGGGGAAAAAGGTAAATCCTGAAGCTGCTCATCAACACTTACATGAAGTTTCTGCTTTACAGCCATACTCCTTTGAACCAATGCCAAGACTAGAAAAGATATTGAAGATTTTGGGATAAGATCAGGGGCTTATCACATAAAAGAAATGGGAATTCTGGGAATAAGAACTCTGTTCTCAGTGATTTGGAAAGAAATTTGAGAATTAATCCATGGAGATTTCTTTCAGTAAGTTTGCACTGTGGATGGGAATGATTTATAGTTTTGCATCTGAAATATCAAGTAACATTGTGCAGTAGCCATTATAACTTGCCATATAATTCCCCTTACAGAAAGAAAACTAGGTATGAACTAGGAAAATTATAATACAAACAGTTAAAATGCTCTGCATAGTATTTCCAATAAATACTTACGATCAGATTGCGGAATAAGTGGAATAAATTTACTGAATACACTCTTTGTTATCGAAGGGCTGGACACAAAACATGAGTAATTGCCCTTATCTGATGCTTCCACATTTGCAATGTAGAGATTGCCATTCGTCTGTGACACAAATCGTCGTTTATCCAAAGCAATGAACACTGGGAACTCATTTAGAAGCCAGCGATAACTGAGGTCATCTGGAGGAAAATATTTTAGTCAATATTAAAACCCAATACTATCAGCTACTTAAACCAAACAATACTGTCTGCATATAAATAGAGTCTGATTTCTAGGTTATAGATATTTTTTTTGGAGAGGCAACTATGTGAGAGAAATTTATACATCTTTATGTGTATATTTATTTTTACATATCGATTTACATTTATATTACTGTGTCAGCAGCCAGCTCATTCCTGTCTACACTGAACACTGGGGCACTGCTGCTGTCAGTGCAGGCTACTGGGGACCTGTGCACACCTTGTCCTGGGCACAGCCATCCCACAGGAACTGGAGTGGGATGGAGTGGGATGGGATG